ATGTGGTTGCACGCCTAGTGTGGGGCATGCAACTGGGCCCCTCTCTCTCGACGTCGCCCCCTCCGACAAAACAAGGGTACCCCCTTAGTTGCGACCAAGTTAGAAAGACATGCGGTTGCATGCCTAGTGTGGGGCATGCAACTAGGCCCCTCTCTCTCATGCCGCACCCCACCAACAAAACAAAGGTCCCCCTTAGTTTCGACCAAGTTAGAAAGACATGCAGTTGCCTGCCTGTTGTGGGGACATGCAACTAGCCCCCTCTCCCCCTTAGACAAAACAAAGGTCCCCCCTAGTTGCGACCAAGTTAGAAAGACATGCAGTTGCCTGCCTGTTGTGCGACATGCAACTAGCGCCCTCTCTCCGGATGCCACCCCCTCCGACAAAACAAAGCCCCTCCCAGTTCCGACCAAGGTAGAAGACATACAGTTGCGTGCCCATTGTGGGACGTGCAAAAACTGACGCCTCTGCATATACAACGAAATTAGAAGTCGAGTTGCAACCAAGTTATAAAAAGACATGCAGTTGTCACCATGCTGGGACGGTTGCGTGCCTAGTGGCCCCCCCTCTCTCTCGACGCCGCCCCCTCCGACAAAACAAAGGTCTCCAGTTGCGCCCGGGTTCGAAGACATGCAGTTGCGCGCCTTTTGTAGGACATGCAACTGGCCTCTCTACCTGTAGTCAAGTTTAAACCAAGTTATAAAGACATATAGTTGTGTGCCTGTTGTGGGGCATGCAAATGGCCCCATCTTCTCAATGCCGCCCCCTTCGACAAAACAAAATGTTCCCACCCCTCTACTACTGCAAATGTGACCCCCACCCCTATCCTACCGTTCCACTTACAAACAAACCATACCGAGAGAGATGCGACCCCTCCATCCGCTCTCCCTACCGGCGATGCGACACTCACCGCTCTCCAACCGTTGCCATGGTAGTTGGGGTGTGTGCAACATGCACTTGCAGTCATGGGTGTGTTTATCTGTCGGACCGTCCTCTCTTATGAAAACCCACTTACAAAACTTCCTCCTCCCCCAACTACAATTACAAATTGTTATAAAAAAGTGGTATTTTTAAATTACATTGTTTCCTAAAAAAAGAAATGCGCACCCATGCCCTCATGTGCTAAACACACACACACGGCATACTAAGAGAAAAAAAGATAGTGTAGTAGTTGCAAACAAAAAGGCTAAAGAAAACAGAAGGAAAAAAGGCTTGTAATTCTTAAACTAATGATTTCTGCACAAAAATTCTAACTGATTGCCCAACAATTCTTAATAAAAAATTCTCCAAAAAAATTTGACCAACTACAGTAGGGATGACCCTCCAAAAAAATAAACAACACACATATGCATTGTTATTTTTCATTTTCCAAATCATCTTTGGAAAAAAAATGTTTCTCTCGTTCATGGGGGCGTTTGGAAAAACTAATAATCTACAAAAGACAATAAAAAATGCATGTTAAAAAAAGATATATAAAAAAGAGAGATATAAAGACAGCCTGAAAGGATTTCGAACATTCTGTTAATAAAAACCAAAGTTTACACAAAAAAGACAAATTAAAAATGCAGATTTCAAAAAAGGTTTTAACTTATAGTTAAACTAATAAAAACAAAAGTAAAATAATTTCAGAATTAACAGTTTCACTAATGCAAAAAATTGCAACGAAAGTGCTTGCACCTTTTACTTAAAAACTAAACATGCAAAAAGAAAAACTGAAAAAAAACAGTGAGAAAATGGATACATACCATGCTTCCCAAAAGAATATTAGTCCTCGTGAGGTGGTGCACAAATGCCAACCCTATGAACCCATTGTTGAGCGGAAGCAGCCCATCTTCCTGAGTGCGAACAATATCATCATCGTCATCACTGTTGCCAGCTTGTCTATCCTCGTCTTCTTCATCTGAGACTTCCATGTAGTCATTCTCACCCTCAGATCCTTCATCTTCGGCACCATTCCCGAATTGAATCACACAGACACTGCCCTTGGGGAAGGCTAGTCCAAGTAGAAGAGATTCCCCAACTTGTTGTCTGCAACAAATTTCCTCCACCCACTACCATACATTATGCTCTTTCTGGGCCCCTTGTGACACTTAATGGTGTACGTCCGTTTGTTTGACTTAAACTTCAGTGTATCCCCTGTTGTGTGTTGAACACAAAAAAAAACAACAAAAAAACGATCATCAAAACTGCCTGAAAAAAATGAATTGAGCACTGATATAAAAGTCAAAAAGATGCAAAACAACCTAAAAAAATCAGTCTAGAACTAGCATAGGTTACTGCACATGACATAAACGACCATCAAGTTCAAAACTCTGGGAGAACAACAAATATCAACCTTCAACAACAATAAAATAATTCTATGATGATAAGTACCTAAAAATAAAGATCAGAACAGTG